AAACCCATCAACATTTGGAGTTTCAACTAATTGTGATGTACAATACACGAAAGTACAGTTAACGTTATAGTGAAAACTAGCACTCCTACTACTAAATTTAACAAACCAAACTCGCGCCAGACGTAAAGGACTACTCTTTTGTGGAATTCCCGAAAAACATTCAACATTAAGTCACTCCACACGCAACCTGCCCCTCTTGTGTTATTGTGTGTGTGTGAAAAACTTCGTACTAAGAAAAAATTATCAGATTTATTAGATTTTAGTTAACGGTCACAATAGTCAACTTCCACGCACACAAACAACAAGTTATTACTGCTTTGTATTATCGTCTAAAGTCGTCCTTAATATTTAGTTTTGTTTTTATATCACATCCGACGGGAGGAAATTCAGCAGCTCTCACTACCGATTTTTAATCCTAATTTAATCATCATCTTCACCACGATCATTTATGTTTATGTTCGCCGAATTGACATGAAAGCACTGACAAATATGAATATACTGTAGTCAACTTCATTAAAACGTTATTAACGTGCCTAAACTCAGTAATTCACCATTTCTACGCATGACAACACACTTTGTCCGTTTTTGGCTATCTCGCCGCACAGTGAAGCGTTCCCGCATTGACGTCACTTCCGTCTTCCCCCAAAACTTCAAAATGAGTCGAAGGAATTTCCCCGCGATGTTCGAAATTATTGATATTTATCGGAACGGTATCGCACCCTCTTTTTTAAACTAACAGTTCGAGATTACTAGTAGTCCAATATTTCATTGCACAACAGTTGTTGGGATGCTGTCACAGGCTCTTTAAAGGCGGTGAGGGCAGTTACAGTACGAACTGAAGTTGATGTGATTTGATTGGATTGTGAGGCATGACGTGAGCTTCATCTGATTGGTCAATCCCTCCATTTTTTTTCACCAAGGGAAGCCAATTTCGGATACCCTCCCCTCGCAACAGAGAGTGCAATCTACTTTTTCACCATAACATCTAGAGGAGCGCTGTTTCAATCTTTGTAAAATACTCAATGAGAATGGGGGAGAGATGGGCCGACAGAATAATTACCGAAACTAAACGAAGTGTTTTTATTTATTTATTAAAATTATAACTACAATCCAAAAAAACAGGGGAAGCCTGGCTTCCCTTGGCCTCCAGGAGAAAACGCCACTGAGTTCAAGGGATCATTCTCACCCACCTCTTGCTCTTGCCCTGCACTTGTGTGCGGGTTGAGCTGGTTCTTCCACCAGCTCAACTCTGTCCCTCATCATGGGAGGCTGGCTGTATATCTGAACTCGCGCCCTCATCATTCTCTTCATCATTTTGCACTTGTTCTAAGCTGCTGCCAAAAAGGTCTGTCAATTTGCGACATTTATATGCTTCACCTGCGAGTGACTTCACCTTTTTTTCTCTGGCCTTCTCGGCCCCACCTTTTTCCTTTTCCTTTTCTTTGATCTTAATCCATGTGTTTTCATTGTCCCTGTCTGCCGCGGCTTCTAATCCCTTCTCTTTGTGTGGCCAGTCTTTTTTCTTCTTCGTGTGTGATTATTTGACAGATAAGAACCACACAACTGCATTAGCGGCCGCTGTCACCCTCTGTCGGCCGTCAGCGCAACTTAAATGATGACGTTAAACACATTTATTTATTTATTTTAAAGGGCTGGCCGGCCGTCAATGGCCCTTGACGACCGGCCGATCTGTGGTTCTCCAGATTCTACAGATGGCCAGTCCGCCCCTGGGTGTTGCTGTGCCGCTGTCACGTCTTTTACTTGACCACTGCGTCACGGACCAATATTGTCCAGCCGCTGCCGAAAAATCAAGAAGCAACCTTACTGCGCTATAATCGATAATCGAGCGGCGAGGTACTGAAATGCTGCCCGCGAGCTACCGGTAGCTCGCGATCGACGTGTTGGAGAGCCCTGCTGTACGATAACACAGGGTGTCCGCGGGGTCTTAAAAAGTATTAAAAGTTGATAAATCAATTTAGCGAAAATTAAGGCTATTAAAAAGTATTAAACGGCATTTTCCAAGGTATTAAGAAGGTCCACAGCAACGACAACATGAAACACCTTTAATTTACTGAAACGACATGTCAGAAGAAACCCCCCAAGGCGGCCCCATGCAGTAGCGCGCGTTAAATGCCGGCTTATTATTTTAAGTTTTCGTTGCCTGCTCCGCTCTGTGGGGGGGAACTAAACGACTACGGTAATGGGTTCCAAGTGGGTAGACCGGCATACGCAACGCTCTGGGGGTCCAACGGCTCCGTGTGTTAAGCCCATATATCATCATTTCTGATAACGATGAAATAGCCCGCCTCCCTCTCACCCACGTCTCCTGCTGCTGCCTGGGCTGTCAGAAGAGGGGAAGGAAAAGAGAGGCAGGCACCGTTTATTTAAATATTATATTTATACAGAGAAACAGAGTCGTTATCAATTGTTTTAAAGCTCAATAAGATAACAAAGAAACTCTGACCGTGCACTGTTTTCTAATTTTGTACGGAAGATTTAAACTTTAACGGACATGTTGAACGGCGGAAACATTTTTTTTATGGAAAACTCTCGGTTCCCCTCGTTCCTTGGAAGAGGCGGTGAGGTGGGTGTTTTTCATCTGCTGGTGGACTACCGGATGAGATATACAGCAGGAGAAAACGCCGATCCACCGCGGAGAATAAACAGAAGGGCAACCATGGCAACCAATGCTCCGGGTCCTTCTTCGCTGCTTTTGGTGTATTTCGGGCGGTGAGGCAGCGCCACTTACAGCCTGACATATGTACTACATCGTTTCCAGCATTTCCAGCCGGTCTAGTGTGAACGGACACACTTTAATGAATCGAATGCGTGTTGTGAACGGAAGCCTTTTTTGCACTTGCGTATGCGTTTTTACCGTATCGCGTCCTCCGTGGGGGCCGGGGGTCTACAGCCAAACTATATCCGGTCACAGAGAATCTGCTATTTTAAAGTAATAGTCCAGTTTTACCTGGAATGAAAGAGCACAGAGTCTACAGACAACAACAAGCAGCATACTGCATTAAACTAACCTTCACAGAGAGGTTGAAGTTCATGTGGAAAGGAGGCTTCAGTAGTCCTGTGCTGCACTCTGTTTTACGCTTTATGGCTATCTTTACAATCAATATATATAAATGTGACTATTTGTATTAAGGTGTGAGCAAAAGCACATTATACCACAATTTTTCCTTGACAGTTTTTTACTGATGAATTCTAAGATATGTTGTTAAATATGAAGGTAAAGTGTGTTCCCCAATGTACCGGTTAGAACTCAAAGTTTGCGATGAGGTCTTAAAATGTATGGAAAGGTCTTTATATAAAAGGTTTAAAAGGTATTAAATTTGACTTCAGGATTCCTGCATATACCCCTGTAACCATGTTACCTGGGTCTTTCCAAAGGTCAACCAACCCTGCCTCTGTTATCACTCAAGAGATGAGCAAATACTTCCTACATTCCAAAGGGAAGGGGACAAGTACAAGGTAATAAATAAGATTTTTTTTAAATACAATTGTTATTCATTTAGCTTTTTGTGGGATCTTGATTTCTCCCACTTTGGTTTTTATTTCATTCCTCTTTCAGTTTTCATGAAATCTACCAAATTGGACAAGAGAAAGGGAACTTTGTTGCAAATCAAAACCACCAAGCGTATCACAGAAGAAAAATTGAGCAACATGGGTCAAGTAAAGAAAGTTTGAAAATTGACATTTATATGAGCAGCTATAACCAATAAATCACAAGTGTCTCAAAGCGACCATGTGGAGGTTACTATATTCGAACGCAGTCCTATACTCTTAATACATTTGTTACAACTTTGTTTGGTTGGTCACTCCTACTTATTNACCTTTTTTTCTCTTGCCTTCTCGGCCCCACCTTTTTATTTTTGTTTTCTTTGATTTTTATCCATGTTTTTTCATTCTTCCTGTCTGACGCGGCGTCTAATCCCTTCTCTTCGTGTGGCCGGTCTTTTTTCTTCTTCGTGTGTGATTATTTGACAGATAAGAACCACACAACTGCATTAGCGGCCGCTGTCACCCTCTGTCGGCCGTCAGCGCAACTTAAATGATGACGTTAAACACATTTCTTTTAAAGGCCAGCCGGCCGGCCGTTCTGTGGTTCTCCAGATTCTACAGATGGCCAGTCCGCCCCTGGCCCTGTGACAATGACAATAACCCTGAACTTAAAATAGCTATGACACTGATACAGTAACACAGTAGTCAGCCAATGGCTCACTTTAGATAACAGCCACTGTCTGGGCTGATCTGATATCATGTCTGAGGATTATTTTTAGTAATGTTGAGCTGAAGGGTATTATTTCTAGTCTGTAAAAGTGTCAATGCAAATCTAGCTTGCTAGCAGTTCAGTACATTGGCTGTGTATTAGTGTATTTGACTTTTTAGGGGTATGAATCTGAAGTTTGCATCAACATGAGACAATCGAATTTACCCATTTAACACATTAAGTTGCATATCAACTCACCAATGGAAATCAAAAGTCAGTTGACTATTTTAATTCTGGGCTCTACCAGACAATTAAGTGGAAAAAAAACGTGTGATTTTAAAGGGGCCCTATTATGCTTTTTTAGGGTGATCCCTTTCCTGTATTGTTATGTAGATTTCTGTGCATGTAAATGTTCTGCAAAGGCTAAAATCCTGAAGATCCTTCCAGAAGGAGTTTCTTTCCCACACACTCCTCCCCCGAGCCGGCCAGCTAACCAATCAGAGCAGATCAGGCTCTATGGGGAAAGTGGTGCTGCAACACAGGCAGTATGATAAAAATAAAGCACTTGAACATTAGAGCATGTGAACATGTCACAATAGATGCACAAAATACAAATATGAACCTGAAAATGAGCATCATAGGGCCCCTTTTTAAATGCCAAGAACAAAACTGACCTCATGTTGTTCACTATAAAGCACCAACAATGGTCATGTTTAAGTGCAAATGTTTTTTCCAATGAACACTTTTTAAATAAGGGCATGTCTTAAAGAAGATTATATCGACATTTTCACTTTGCATCAACGGTATTGGATCGTTGATCATTCAACCCATATATCTTCTTCCCTTGTTCAATTTAGCGAGATGATGAAGATGATGATGTTGATAATGAAGAAGAGGATGAAGAGAAGAAAAATCAGCAGGCAGTCGGTGGGACTGAAGCTGCTCCTACCGTGATCCAAGGTCAGGTGTACGTCAACATCTCCCCTCCAACGGTTGGTCGGGGTCTCATCGGAGCCTCCTCTGAAAGCCGCCCCCGCTCTCGCAGCTACGACCGCAACCTGGACAAGTGTCCAACGCCTCGACTCGGGTCTCTGGAGCGTATGTTGAGCTGCCCAGTGCGGCTCAGCGAGGGCGCTGCCCCCACCCCGCCTCCTCCTCCAAGAGTCACCTCTTTCGCGGAGATCGCCAGAAGCAAGCGGAGAAACGGAGCATCGGGGGGGTCGCCTCCACTGAAGGGAGCTGCAGACCCTTTCTCCTCCACTTACTCCACCCACTCCCACTCCTCCTTGGATTTCTCTCCGATCCTGGAGCAGCGTGTGGAGGTTGACAGTAACAGCCTGTCACCTGTACCCTTCACCAGATGTTACAGTCAGGGCAGCATTGAGCGACACCTGGAGGGGGCAAGGGACCCCCGTACTAATGTGGAAGGTATGTTACTAACTTGTTAACAGTTAGCAAAGTATTTCTTTGCCCAAAAAATGACTATTTGTTATCAAACAATTGCCTATTTACACCGACTCCTGAGATGGTGATGGTTCGCTGTGGATTACTACATCACCACAAGCAACCCTTTTTAGATCATGCAAATTCATTTTAAACTTTTATAAGATTTAAAATAAATTCTGATCAGTGGAGATTTGAACTTTACTCATAAAGTTAAAGCTGTACAATCTGTTAGAAAATATACATATTTGTCCATTAGTGCTTTCACTACAAGCTACATGTATTGCTTCATCTACTTCTGCTTCAGTCAATAATAACTAATGAACTATAACTGCTTCCCTCATTTGAAAAATAACCCGCACAGTGGGTTAACAGATAGTCATTTATGGAAAAATGTGTCTCTTGAACCTCTTCTTCGTTTTAGTGGTCCTCTTGGGGTTTTTAAGCATTGTTGTTGTTGGTTGAATGCAAGTAGCGAAACATCTAAAATATTGATTCTGAGGAAAACTCTAATTATTTACATGCTGACAATATTATTCTCACATACAAACAAATGATGTTGCAAAGGGCAATTAATCACATTGTATCGAAATCGCAATATTCAAGTGTAATATTTTTAAAATATGTGAAAATATCAATCTTCATTAGTTATTTTATTGCTGCAGAGGAGTCTAATCGCAACTAGTTATTTTTAGAAAAATCCTGCAGCCCTAATGTTGAATTTCACTCATCATTTCATCATTCAGACTAGCACAAGCAGTTCCACCTTACATATATTTGTGTAAGTCTTTTTATTGTTTCGATGTGTCATTAAAATGCCGGTTAAAATGCGACAGCAAGATGTAATCTCGCTGAACCTCCATTCTGAATGGAGATCGACTAAGCTAACGCAGTATATGCTCCGACCGTCCACACTCACAACAACGGCCTATACAGACATAAATAAACCAGCGACTGTATTCGCCATGACACAGACAGTATGTGGTTTGTACTTGTTTAACTTTTGTCTAGTTTCTGAACGATATGAGGAGCTGTGAGCTCTGAGGGCTAACAGCTAACGTCTGATGTTGTTTTTCTGTGGTTCTCATTGAAGATGACGTCACGGCTCCGCCTACACTGCGTTACTATAGTTACTGCCCCAGCTACTAAACTGTAATGGAAACGCAGCATAAAGTGAGCCTGTCCTAACAAGGCCTACTGAGGCCTAGCTATACCGAGCAAGGCCGAGCGAGGCCCTGTAGTGGAAATGCGCCATAAGTGATTGAACAATCACAACAGAGCCGGCCAGCTAAACAATCAGAGCAGACTTGGCTCTGGTTTCAGACAGAGGGTGAAAAGAGGTGCTGCAGCACAGGCAGTATAAGAAAAATAAAGAGCTTTTTGAACATTAAAGCTTGTAAACACGTAAAGGAACAAAATACAAATATGAACCTGAACATTATTATAATAGGCCCTCTTTAATTAAAATGAAAGTTTCTTACATAATGAAAAATATATCTGAAAGCAGGCAATGCAAACCCAAAAACTAAATATAACATTCAATCAGAAATGGAAAGAAACTATAAAAACTTTTTCATAATCCTTTTTAAGTCATTTTTTAAGCAAAAGATCACTAGAATTAGGTTTTCAAATGTTAATATTTGCTGACTGTGTCCTATGTTAGCAAACTCGAAACCTTTGCGTTTTAAAGACACTTGAAAATATCTGGATTTAATTCATTATTTTCAACTACTGTTCTTACAGACTGGGGCAGTGAGAATAACAAATAAGGACTGTAAATGGAAGACAAGGGAAGAATTTATGAAGATATTTGAGGAAATATGTGTCTCTCATGCCTCAAAAACATCCTCTTCAGTTTGTCATTCTGTCTTCATATGGACTGTGATGATTTAAGATTATAATGAGAGGCTGTGCAGCAACATATATTATTCATCAGACTTCACTTCCTGCGTTGTTGCACCGCAGCGCGCAGGCCTCTTTAAAAGCCTTCGAGAGGCAGCTCCCTCGCTAATGATGCTAACATGAAGCTGCGAAGGAAAGGGAAAAGCCTCGGCTGTCTATTGGAGTCATCTGTGAGAGAGGAGAGGAGCCGGAGGGGAAGAGAGGAGGCAGGGAAGTAGCAGAGGGGGAAGGGAGGCGGGAGGGGAAACAAGATTTAAAAAAAATTGAGACATGACGGAGCAGATCCAACAGAGACAGAGAGGGAGTGTTCCTGTCCTCCATCCCCAGTGAGAGATGAGGCCTGCTGGGTGTGTAGTTCCTCCCTCCTCCATCATGCTCCTACTCTACTCCTACTGCTGCTCAATGTCGCCCCCTTTGGCCAAGACACATCACCGCACCCAGCTCAGGTGGCATCGGTGGGCCGGGCTTTGGGTGACAAACAGCTTGCGCAACACAGCTGACGTCTCATGCTCTTCTGTCTCCACTGGATCTAGAACACACACACAGTAAAACACACAGACTGGCAGAGAAGAAGTGCAGAAAAAGGCTTCTCCTTGCTTCTGTGTCTCCTGACGCCTTGCCTTCAGGTGTGTGTGTGTGTGTGTGTGTGTGTGTGTGTGTGTGTGTGTGTGTGTGTGTGAGAGAGAGGGAGAGCGTGTGTCTCTGTGTGTGTGTGTGTGTGTGTGTGTGTGTGTGTGTGTGTGTGTGTGTGTGTGTGTGTGTGTGTGTGTGTGTGTGTGTGTGTGTGTGTGTGTGTGTGTGTGTGTGTGTGTGTGTGTGGTTGTCTGTTATCAGGGCTGTTGAGCTTTGTGACTCATGACTGGGCAGTTTTCGGTTGCCTCTGTAATGTTAGTTTCAATTCTAGTCTGTAACCTGCCTAATCGTACCTATCTCACTGTCTACCCACCAGATCCAGCTTCTGAAATGTGAGCCTATGCTCAGTTTTAATCAGTGCAAATTGAAATTATGTTTGGGTTTTACATTAATGGTTGGATATAAGGTGTTTGACTTGGACTGTAGGAAATTGTGTGACATTTTCAGACGTATACAATACTGTACATGATCATATGATAGAAAGAACTTCATTTGTGATTTGGAATCCTTATTATTTGTACCTCTGAATGAATGCCTGAAATTGAGTTGTCATTTTATGAAGTCCAACTTAATAAAGCTAATGAAATCTAAACAATTAACCTTTCAATAAATCCAAAAACTTCATGACTGTTATAATGTTGATGATTGAAGCCTTACTTAATTTGATTTTACAAAATGTTGTCAGAATAAAAGGCTTTTTTAATTTAATTTTTTAAACTAACAAGGTTTTTTTTCCTTTTCCACTCCATCTTTTCTCCAACTGTGCTAACCTAGGTGGCCTCTCCAGTTCCTCTGAACCGAGACTGCCAAGGCACAC